AGGTTTGCCACCATTTGCAGACTAATAAAATCTTACCTCACCCCTTTTCACTAATTGGTTACTGTCCACCACGTTGGCTGTGGCAATAGAATGGAAACATATTTATATATATATATACTATGCTTTATACACATATTCATACAAAATATACTGTACATTATTTAGTTATTTCTTACCGATAACACATTAACAACATAATAAACATTTATTGAGAAACATTCATATAAAATGGATCAAAATTTTTTATATAGACAGTATATACAAGCTACTAATATATACATCCTGTGTACATTCATGACATTCATATTTTAAACCCCTATTTACAGTTACATCAGTAAGTAAATGTAAAGGCCGTCTTTCCTCTTTGTTTAATCCAGGTTTTCACTTAACTGTAAATTTGTTGTTAGGAACACAGCGGCGGTATGTGTATCCTGCCAGGCAGTTGACCACGCAAAAGCTGGTCATCTGGAAGAGGATTGGCATTGGAGCTGCTTTACTAAAACTGGAGAGTGCAAAATCTAGTACAACTGTGCATGGTAGCCAATCAGCTTCTAACTTCAAAAACCTGGAAGCTGATTGGTTTCTGTCTAGAGCTGCACCAGATTTTGTGCTCTCCAGCTTTAGTAAATCAACCCCATTGAGTAGTAGGCTGTAAGATGGTCTGCACTACCTCATCCTGCACATGCTCCTTGTTCAACAGTCTTTGCTCAGGGTTCCTCTCTTGCACTTTCTGGGTTCCATCTCCTGCCTCCTTCTGGTCTGCTAACTCTACAGAGTCCACAAACCTGTATCAGCATTCCCCAACTGGTTGGGCTTCCTCTGTACAGGCAACCTTGCCAATCATAATGTTAGGTAGCTCATGGTTTATTGTGTTTTGGATTGGCCTTTATTTGTACTGACCTTATCTGAACCTTTTGGTTTGTTTTACTGATGTGCTTGCTTCTTTTGTTTTGACATTCCGCTCTAAATATCCCGAGCAACAACTCCTGGTTACCTTCCCCAACTGTGCTTTTTTCTCTTGCTCCTACCCCAGCACTCTGCCTTGGTCTGTCCAACTATCAGTTGCTTCCTAAGAGGTGATCCCAAGGACCGTACACTGACACCCTGCCTGTGTTACATTTCAAAGACCAAGTATTTTTAGTGTCTGCATTTTGAGCATATTTCCATACCATTGATGCCTCTGAGCATTGTCCACCATCCTTGGTAGTCTCCATGGATCCTAACCCTCTTCAAGGATTCTTGCAGTTTTCATTTTAACTCATTGCCTTGTCTGCTCATCAGTATAGGCTTATACACCTGGCAAAAAATGTTAAGCCAGCAAAAAGCAACATTATAATGCATAACCTTTCCAGTGAATATGCCAAAATAAGCCACTTTTGTCTTGTCTGACAAATGTGAATACATTGTTAACTTTTTGCACTTGAATCTGAATATTTCTCTTAGGCAAGATTCCACAGAAGACCCAATCCAGTTTATGCTGGACAAAGTGCCCTCTAAACAGTGAAGCCTGCCCCCACACCATGCAGCTGTGTTCTTTTCATCCTCAAACCCACCTTGTGCCATTTGTCTTTTCCCACATGAATAACCCTAGCAGAAAGTGAATTATTTGCCAGTATTGTACATGAAAAGTGTCTGCCTGCCTGTCTGAATGGGGTGTGTTTCCATAATTTCCTTGCATATTATTCTCACTTCCTCTTCTACTATTTATAGACTTGACTTAATACAAATGATTTAGAATGGACAATGAGAAGTCACACACAAAATGGAACACAGCTGGCTGATTTATTGTGTCAGGATAAACCTGGAAAGTAAAAATATGTCGACTGATAATGTACGATTGTCATTTTTGCCAGCTGTCTTGAGTTTTTCAGTTTGCCCTTGAGAAAATCTAAACTTCTAAACTATTTTTTGTCTCAGTGGAAGGCTACATGCTCTATCACTTATTCCTGATTCACTTTACAGAGACCTTAATTCAGTGCCATCACCTAAATGAAAGGGTTGTCTCAATTCCATCAGTTTGAGATGCTTATGAGATCATTCAAAATTCATTAACAGGGACTTATGACCTGCGGCTGATCACCTTTTGACCTGCTTCAAGCAAGTTTTGTATTCACATAGAGTTGTATGGGAATGCAAAACTCATCTGATGCAAGAAATAGCTTTTTGACACAGGCCCTATCTCGTGGAGGTGGTATGATTTATGGAAAGCAAATGTCAAAAAAAGTAATGAGTATGGTAGAGAGCTATAAGAGTTTAAGATCTTGCAGGGGCCAGCAGAGATATAACTTTAATATAAAGGGGCCTAAATTATGTTTTAGACGGACCCCTGCCCAAATGCAGTTCTTAGCCCTTTTATACTTTTAGTTCTCCACTGCCATATCATTTTCAGGAACATTTTGTTGCTAAAGATTTCTTATACCTAAGCTGGCGGTGTTCCTTCTCAAAACCAATGGTATAGTAATTTACTTACAAGGGACTGTAGCAGTGAGCTGTGTGGTGCAAGAAATTGACACTTTGTAACCTGACTAAGGCATATTATCACGGAATTACCATTTTCAGTCACTGCAGTCTTTAGATATGGTTACATATATATGAAATGGCAGAATATAAAATTAGTGTTAATTATTATTGGGCAAGAACACAAGAGGAAGACTAGCAAGCTTTTAGAAGAGTAGGAAACATTTGGCAATGTAAATAACATTTGTCCCTCCCTAAAAATAATCATTGTTTTCAGAATCCAGGGGGTTTTTTTCTGACCATTTTTTGCTATGATTTCTTTTGGTAGATGCTGTAAAATATAGTTTGAATGTTTAACCTCTCCATACTATGAATCCCAAGCCTTATTTCTTTCTATCCCTAACCTTTTCAGAGATGGTAAGTTTGATTCCAATCAAAATGCAACCTTTAGACTGCAATATTCTTAGCTACTTTACTAGTATTAGACACGATAAGCAGTGAAAATAATTCAGTATTTTAAATATCCAAGAAGATTTACCATATAACTAATGTAAGTGAAGCCATCTTTTGGGGGAGATAGGTTATATCAAATGGCCCTTACCAAAACAGGAAATTGTGCTAAACCTGTTGGTAAATAAAAGAACCAGAACCTTTGCTAAGTGGAAGAGTTGGTTTTATAATAAAATTGGTAGTGCCTCCAACCAGGGTTAACTAATGAACTATTCAGAGTAATTGGCCATCGGTGACCATCTTTCAATAGAAAAACACCTGTTACAGTGACAACTATCTAAGAAGGGAATTCCCATCTTTTTCTAGAGATGTCCTCTCACTTCCTGGTAAATCACCAAGACAGAAAGTAAGGGAACTCTCTCCAGTGACAGCATAAAATTAAAGCAGAGCTCCAGCAACAATATAAAAATATAAAAGTCAGCAACTACAAAATCTGCAGCTGCTGACTTTTAAAAAACACACATTTACCTATCCCTTGATCCAGCGGTGTCCTTCCCACAGCTGGTTTCACTGGCCGTCCTCTCTACCCGGTGCCAGCATCTTCATTGTGAGCACCCAACTGTGACAGCTTGTGGCTTCACAGTCGGGTGCCAACTGCACATGCAAGAGTAAAGCTGCACTTTCTGAATGGTCCTGTAGTCTTCTGGGACCTGTCAAATATCCCAGTTGGGGACAACTTCCGTTTCCAATTACATAGGTAATTGCAGCAGAAATGGAAACTAGTATCTACCAAAACTCCCCCCCCACACACACACACACTCCCCAAAGGTGCTGATCTTTATTGGGGAGCCTCAAAAGGCTAAAAAAAATCTTGACATTCGTCCTGTTTGCTACTGACCTTTACATTTTAAAAAGGTTGTTTTTTTAGGAATATAGCTTGAAGCTGTTTGTATCCTATAATATAAAGGCTCATTCACACTTGTTCTTTGTGACTATGTGCAGTAAAATGCACCAGCTCTATGTGTAGTGCCATTCTTTATGAATGATACCCCAATGCATTGTACAATACAAGGCAACACACGGCGCACCACAGCGCGTCACAGTGCTCATTGCAGTGCGCTGTGCTGCTATAAAAGGGTCACAAGCATTTTTTAGCTGTTGTAGTGCATTAGCAGTAAATTTATAATGAATGGGCAGCCTTAGCAGAATGCACATTAACGCGTTAATGCATGAACTTTAAGGCACCAACATAAATGGCCAAAGTGTGCATCAGGCTAAACAAAGGGCAAACATAAAAAGGAGCTAAATATCAAAATATTTAATAGGAGTCTAAGGTTCCTTGTGTCTAGCCAGACCTGACCTTAATGCAGAACTTTACCCAAAAGGGGAAGTTTTTGCTTGTTTGCATCCTCCCCCACCTCTGGTTGTGACAGGTACCTGCTCCTACTTCTACTCGGATCACCTTGGCGGTCCAATCAGATGCTTGCCTTTCCCCTCCTTACCCTGCAGCCTTCTGGGACACATAACAGGTCCCAGAAGACTGCGGGATCATTCACAAAGCGCAATGCAGCTCAGGCATGCTCATTGGGAGACCAGCTGTGAAGCCTTGCCGGTTTACCTTAGTTAAGATGTCAGTGGCTGGACCTAAAGCTGGTTAAAGAATAGGCCCGGGAGAGGACAGCGCTGGACCCTCCTTGGACAGGCAAGTGACCTTATATTAAAAGTCAGCTACAGTATTTGTAGCTGCAGACTTAATTTTTTTTTGGGGGGGAGACTGGAGCTCCTTTTTAGCAAATGTGGCATGCCCTCTATGAGAATATACTAATTTTTTTATACGACAGGGAGCTATTTACAATTTGAACTTTAGCAATTTTATCATAACGTTTGAATCAGCTGTGATGCCAGGAATTTGAAATTTAGTGTCTGGTGGACCTAACTAAAATGTATATAAAATAATTTCTTTAGAAAATTCATGTAAGGAAATAGGTTTGCTAGATATGAACTGTTCTGTACAACTTTAGCCAAGCTCAGATTTTAAATATACACCATAAAATATAGTAATAATTGGCATAAATAAACATCAATTCTTTTGGTATGTTTCAGGTTCTAGTTCTTCACAGGATCCTCCGGTAACAACTGTGATGACAACAGTGGCTTTGACACCTACTCCCAATCAACCTACTGATGCTGCTGCTGTCGCTACTACTGTTTCTCATCCTGGTACCACTACTACATCTGTTGATAGTACTCTTGCAAAGACTGAAGCCTCCGTTAGAACAACGCCTCTTGCTACTACCATTGCTGGTCCACCAGGCACAGTTACCACATCATCAAATAAAGTACCCACCGCAGCATCATCAACTATTGTACCTGATAAAGTAACAAGCTCATCAGCAGGTCATGTAACATTCACAAAACAGCCAGCCACCTCTCTAACAGTGACAACAATTAGTCAATATAGTGCTAGCCCAGCAGGCAACTCTGTTACATCACCATCTGGCTCGCCTAAACAACCTGAAAGAACTGGTACAACAGGTATGCATTGTTTTAACCCACATATTTTTGATAAACAAGGAGTTTGTATGTTGTTCCTATCTTGGCATATTTTTTTCTCCTTAATTCCCAATACATTATACAACAAACCAAAAACTTGATGGGAAAATGATTAGAAATCTTGTTCGGACTTTGGTGCTGCCTGCGGTTTCATAGGAAAGATTTGCCCTAATTTCCTTTCTTGCTGACAAGCGTTTAACAATTCAGGAAGTAGAGAATAATCTGCAATGGGGACATAGACAGAAATACAAATTTGACTGGGGTTTTAACCTGCCCATACTCTACTGTACAATAAAACATTATAATATGCAATAAAAATAATTAGTTTTGTCTGTGCTGCTGTTGGAGAATTTCCTTCACCCCCTATTTGGTAAAATATTATCAGCAGGACAGAAAACTATAGTAGATGTTTCTAAGGCTAGGTTTACGCCTATGCGTTTTGCATTTTTTTTTCTTGTTGCTAGGCAGATTTAAAACGTGAAACGCATAAAAAATGCAGCAAAAATGCAGAAAAACACACTACATGCTTTTCTGCAGCGTTTCCATTGAAGTCTATAGAACCAAAAATGCAACTTTTAGCATTCAAAAAAGTCCCTGACCCTTTCCAAAAAAACTCACCAGCTGAAAACGCAGAGATGTGAACGTGTCCCATAGGAAATCATGTTAAATGGATTGTAGTGCATTTCTGCAAAATGCTAAGGAAAACGCTTAGGTGTGAACCTAGGGTAATGGTGCCCTTGATAGCAGTGAAAACATAACATGGGTTCTAACTCAGGAGTTTCCCACTCTATCCAAAACTAAAATACGGATAGACTTTCATTTGAACGTCTAAATGAACATTTTGAAAAATGTTTTTTCTTTCTTGTGATAATTGAGTCAACTAATTTCATTAGAAATTTCATAAGATTTCATCCTGACCTGCTATTGGAATGGAATTCCAGAGCAAAAACCATATTCACAGTAAAGCATTAAAGCTGCAATAAACTGAAAAAAAAAAGTAGGGCCCCTGTAGAATAATGTCATAATGTGCTAGTATGCATCACATACTAGCACATTATGAGATACTTACCTTAAAACAAAGCCCTCCAGTGGCGCAGTCTGGGATTCCATCTTCACCCAGTCTTCCTTCTGGGTTTGTGGCCTTCAGCTGTTTGAATGGTCGAGTCACCATGACGTCACTCCCTTATTAAAGACTTGCCTGTAGATATAAATTAAAAAAGCTGAATTTACTAACGGTTCTACAAAAATTTTCTGCCCTGCTCTTTCAAATATTTTTTTATCACTACTGTCTAAAAGGAAAGTCAGTTTGACTAACCAAACTAACCATTAGACAATTGAATGAATATACAAAAAAAAAACAAACATTTTGAAACAAAATGTTACTGGTGTATGGCCAGCTTAAAGATGATCTCAAGGTTTTAGCGAACTTTAAATAGTTTGTTTGGACCAAGCTGGTCCACATGATCTATCTAGTGTACTAACAGATGCAGAGGCTGCGAGTGCTGTATGTAGTCTCATCTACTTACAGTGCTGTGAAAAAGTATTTGCCCCCTTCCTGATGGTTTTTTTTTTACATATTTGTCTTACTTAAATGATTCAGGTTATCAAACAATTTTTTAATATTACACGAAGATAACCCAAATAAATACAATATGCAGTTTTTAAAAGATGATTTCATTCATAAAGGGAAAGAAGCTGTTCAAACCTGCCTGGCTCTGTGTGAAAAAGTAATTGCCCCTAAATCCAAGAATTCATGATTCCATCAATTATGACAAGTCGTTCAGGTCCTGAAGCTGCAAACAGCCCCAGACCATCACACTACCACCACCATGTTTGATTGTTGGCATGATGTTCTTTTTATGAAATGCTGTTAGTTTCACGCCAGATGTAACAGAACACACACCTTCAAATTTTGTCTCATGAGTCCAGAGAATATTTTTCCAAAAGCCTTGGGGATAATAGAGATGATTTTTGGCAAATGTATGAAAAGCCTTTGTGTTTTTTTTTTTGGTCGACAGTGGCTTTTGCCTTGGAACTCTCCCATGGATGGCATTTTTTCCCAGTCTCTTTCTTATTGTTGAATCATGAACACCGACATTAACTGAGGCAAGTGAGGCCTGCACTTTTTTAGATGTTGTTTTGGGTTTTTTTATTGCCTCCTGGATGAGGGCCAGACAGGTTTGGACAGCTTTTTTTTTTCCTTAATAAATGAAATCATCATTTCAAAACTACATTTTGTATTTACTTGGGTTATCTTTTGTCTAATATAAAAATTTGTTTGATGATCTGAATCATTTAAGTGTGAGACTGAGTGCTGCTCAGCCATTCACAGAGAGTATTGTGTGTATTAATACAAAGCTTCTTCTGATGAGCTGACGTGGGGATCATGACTTCACCTGCTTGCCTCTATACCTCAGCCAATCAGCGGAAGCTCTGTAAAAATTCATAGAACACAAAGCTCTCTGTGAATGGCTGAGCAGCACTCAAGCTGACTTGATTTTGTTCTGGGAGGGGAATGGGAAGTTCTCATCCTGCTGCTGGAAGACATGATTGTATACTGAATGTAGCTGAGGCTACATACAGTTATACAGTGCACACAGCTGCTTTATCTGTAAGCGATGTAAATAGTACACTTGGACCAGCCTGGTCCAAGCAATCTTTTTAAAGTTCACTGAAACCTGTAGTTCTCTTTTAAGCAAGCCTAGGCTTTCCTGGGCCAAAAGTCCCATATCTTTAGTATGAGATTTAAGGCACTGCTCCCTCTTACTGCTAGTCTCAGGAATTGTTGAGTGAGATTTCTGGATGTCTGTATGCTGCTGATTGTTCTCCGTGTTGACTTTAACACGAGGAAGCAAAGCCCTGCTTTTACCAAGATGACCACCCACACACAGCGACACAGTGCAGAACAAAACATGGAAACTTAGTAATAAAGAAAGATCAGTTTCAGGAAAAACCACAGGCAACATTGTTTCTTTGCCCTCATCCCACCTTGATTTCAGCACAGTTTTCAAAGTTCCATTCCTCTTTAAAGCTGAATTCCAGGTATGAATAGATTGGTCCAGCTTAGGCAATGAAATAATGCAAATTTTATACCTGTGGAAACTGGAAATCACTGTAGTAAGTCAACCCGCTTCTGGATACCAAATTCGGGCAGACATATAGTAATAGCAATAGTAATGGCACAAGTAGCATTCACAGAACACCTTGTTTTTTTTCTTATTGAATGCAAGGCGTTTTCTGATTGGACACGGTGGAGAGGTGGGGTGGTAACCTCATAATCTCCATTTAGTCTAATGAAAGAAAGCCTTGCATTCATTGAAAAAAATGCAATGCATTCTGTAAATAGCACCTATGCTGGGCAAGCCACCCCCTGTGTTCACTATGCAGCAGGGCAGCTATTCAGCACTGGACACAGAAGATAGCAGCAATCAATGAAGTAGCAGTGACCAGTACAGTATTATCCAGCTTATAAAGGGAACCCACATATATGGCGTATGCATACCTACATTGGTCCAAGCTGGACTAATATACCTTTATAAAATCCAAACCTGAAATTCAGCTTTAATGCTTATTTCTTCTATAAACTTTAAAGCAAGTGAATCATGAATTTGTTTGAAATCACTGAAACTGGATTTAGGAAAGTAATGTCAGTTTTTTTCAAATTACGTATGTTCTTCTGTCTGCAATCATTTTGCCTACATTTATATGCATGATTTCAAACTATCTGTAAAAAAGATTTAAAACTTTTTTATAAGGCTGGCACTACCCATGCATCACAGTCACCATAGCACAGTATTATGAAGGAAAACTTCTGTTTATCAGTGGAATATGTAAGAAGCTGATCAGTAACAATAAAATAAAAATAAATATGATTTTATTTAACAAAGTACTATGAAATGCTAAACAAGTGTGCTAATGCTTACTTTGATGAACGTCTGCTGCCTCTAGTTTGCCCATTTTTTAAAAGCCTAGCCCAAATATTCATCATGTGTCCTTGCTTGTTTCTTTGACCAGGATGTGCAAGTACATGATGATAATAATAATAATAAAAAACTTTATTTTATATAGCGCCTTTAAAGGTAGCTTCTCATAGAGCTTTACAAAGAAAACAAACAAGAAAACACACTTGAGAACTGCAGTTACTGATCTAAGGGAAAGAACAATAACTATAGCTCTGCTGTCAATATGGGATATAGGCCGTCACATTTATTTGGGGGTTAGGGTGTTGCTGGAGTGCTAGACCATAGTGGGATAGATTGCTATTAGGATTGTCAAAAGTGGCTTTTTAAGTTAAAGAAGAAGGTGGCTCTCTAGATGCTTCCAATGCCCAGGTACGTTCATGGAACATGGACAATAAGTAATATGAAAGCGCAATAGCGCCACATAGGCTCTAAGTATGTCCAGTAAATCTTTATTAATAACCTCAGATGTGATAAAATGTAGCCAATACATTTTGGAGGCTTACCAGTCCTCTTCATAAGACCTTAAAGTTGTGGAGAAGGTAAATGATAATGATGTACTGGACTCCGGTTGGCTGGTAAGAAATATGTTTAGGAAGCATGTACTGAACACTTGTTTCAGTTGCTGCCAAACTGAAGTTTGTCTAGCTTTTATCGTTGTCTGTGTCCCTGCTGGGGAGAATAAAATCTGTATTTGTCCTGGCTATCAATATAACCAATAGAGAATGGGAATGAAAATCCAAAATTTTAGAGCAGTCACCAGAACAAGAGTTGAGGGTAAGTCTTACAATGAGTACCTGTATTGGTGATGTCTGCATAACAGGGAACTCCCCTTTCTTTGGGAAGACTTCCTCTCACTTACTGTGTTGTATCTCATTTACAGGAAATCTTTTCAACAATATAGATGGGAACAAATAACCTTTTAAACTATTCTCTACCTAGAATAAATGTTTTGACTATACATGTACTTTCTGGTACAAAATGTTTTATTGAAATATCTAAGACCAGTACATACAAAAGGTATTTGGCAAGAAAGGTATTGATTGGATCATAAAAAGGTTAACAAAGTCAAAGTGGGAACTCATGCAGGGGTCCATATACTTACATGTTTGGTCAACAGTAGTGTAAAAATATATAGGGATCAGGAAACAGACAAACTACACAAATTAATATAATCTTCAAAAGGCATGGTAGTATAACTGATGAGAGTCATGCAACCTAGCCCAAAACCCATGCAAGTAAGGTCATATACAATTTGAAAAAGAGAGGGAGGGGGAAGGTTGCTTGGGACCCCAAGCTCTAGGCAGTTCAGCCCATACTTATGTTGTTACAGCATTAAAGGGCAAATGTTATTCTCCCCCAGGGTAGCAATGCCAGGGACAACTGAGGAAAATTGGAGGAAAGCTGTTCTCCAACCATATGCTATAGTCTGCTTTGCAACCATAAAAAAAAAAGGAGATGAACCTGCGAGAATGGCTTGGAATCTATGGAAGTGGCTTATGGAGGAGTGGCTCTCCTGTTTTCTTTCAGAGATTACACTGTGTGTGGATCCATAAGGGGTGAGCTACAGGTCACGGCCACCATATGTGGAACATGGTCCCTTCCGCTCCGCAACCACGAAAGCAGGAGGAGTTATACCTAGGAACATACTTGGCGATGCAAGCTGGTGTAAAGTACCATCTAGAGAGGACTTTGTAGGAGTTTTCCAGAGTATGTACAGTGGGGCAAAAAAGTATTTAGTCAGCCACCAATTGTGCAAGTTCTCCCACTTAAAAAGATGAGAGAGGCCTGTAATTGGCATCATAGGTAGACCTCAACTATGAGAGACAAAATGAGAAAAAAAATTCAGACAATCACATTGGCTGATTTGGAAAGAATTTATTTGCAAATTATGGTGGAAAATAAGTATTTGGTCAATATCAAAAGTTCATCTCAATACTTTGTTATATATCCTTTGTTGGCAATGAAAGAGGTCAAACATTTCCTGTAAGTCTTCACAAGGTTGGCACACACTGTTGCTGGTATGTTGGCCCATTCCTCCATGCAGATCTCCTCTAGAGCAGTGATGTTTTGGGGCTGTCGCTGGGCAACACAGACTTTCAACTCCCTCCAAAGGTTTTCTATGGGGTTGAGATCTGGAGACTGGCTAGGCCATTCCAGGACCTTGAAATGCTTCTTACGAAGCCACTCCTTCATTGCCCGGGCGGTATGTTTGGGATCATTGTCGTGTTGAAAGACCCAGCCATGATTCATCTTCAATGCCCTTGCTGATGGAAGGAGGTTTGCACTCAAAATCTCACGATACATGGCCCCATTCATTCTGTCCTGTACATGGATCAGTCGTCCTGGTCCCTTTGCGGAGAAACAGCCCCAAAGCATGATGTTGCCACCCCCCCATGCTTCACAGTAGCTATGGTGTTTTTTGGATGCAACTCAGCATTCTCTCTCTTCCAAACATGACGAGTTGTGTTTCTACCAAACAGTTCTATTTTGGTTTCATCTGACCATATGACATTCTCCCAATCCTCTTCTGGATCATCCAAATGCTCTCTAGCAAACTTCAGACGGGCCCGGACATGTACTGGCTTTAGCAGGGGGACACGTCTGGCACTGCAGGATCTGAGTCCCTGGCGGCGTAGTGTGTTACTGACGGTAGCCTTTGTTACATTGGTCCCAGCTCTCTGCAGGTCATTCACTAGGTCCCCCCGTGTGGTCCTGGGATTTTTGCTCACCGTTCTTGTAATCATTTTGACCCCATGGGGTGAGATCTTGCGTGGAGCCCCAAATCGAGGGAGATTATCAGTGGCCTTGTATGTCTTCCATTTTCTAATTATTGCTCCCACAGTTGATTTGTTCACACCAAGCTGCTTGCATATTGCAGATTCAGTCTTCCCAGCCTGGTGCAGGTCTACAATATTGTTTCTGGTGTCCTTCGACAGCTCTTTGGTCCTCACTATAGTGGAGTTTGGAGTGTGACTGTTTGAGGTTGTGGACAGGTGTCTTTTATACTGATAACAAGTTCAAACAGGTGCCATTGATACAGGTAATGAGTGCAGGACAGAGGAGCCTCTTAAAGAAGAAGGTACAGGTCTGTGAGAGCCAGAAATCTTGCTTGTTTGTAGGTGACCCAATACTTATTTTCCACCATAATTTGCAAATAAATTTCCAAATCAGCCAATGTGATTGTCTGGATTTATTTTCTCATTTTGTCTCTCATAGTTGAGGTCAACCTATGATGCCAATTACAGGCCTCTCTCATCTTTTTAAGTGGGAGAACTTGCACAATTGGTGGCTGACTAAATACTTTTTTGCCCCACTGTATATTCCGCATACATTTCAAGTTTGCTTGCCAGATTGGTACCCAATCCTCCAGTGAAAGTGGTTTAGTCTAGTGCCCATGCCATGCAATATGTATAAACCTGGGATAAAGTACCTTTGGTGGAGGCAATTTATTCTCACTTGTTGCATCCTCTTAAGTGTTGGATAGCTTACAAGTTTCACAAAGTTGTCTACAAAGAAATTTGCTTTGAAATATAAATGCCCATATGCATATGCCAGTAAACACAGGTACTTGCATATACACGCATATAGCTGCATTCAGTCATTAACTTATACAGGAGGCTGTATGCATCAACTATGGGCTCCATGGCGGGTTAATATATTGGAATTTATGCTATGAGACCAGATACAGTCATGTGCATGGGCCTTTACTGTCATTTCAGTATCATAATTGTAAACATGTACCTGTATTCCGACTCTCTACAGAAGCTTCCCAGATAAGCAACGCTACGAAAGGAGACATGAAAACTACAGCTTCATCTATAGTCACTGAAGCCACAACGCATAGCCGAGTTGCTGATCTTCCCAAAGGCACTATGATAACTACACCAGCCTTAAGTTCATCAGCATCTCCACCTTCAAAGACAGCGTCCCCCACCACAGCAGGCGTGACACAACAGATTATGACCACTACGTCTGCGACAGCTAAGCTCCCAAGCAGCTCTTCTTCAGTTCCATCAACAGCAACTGATTTACCTACTCCTGAGGAGTTCACATCAAAGAAGACCACTGAGACTAATAAAGTAAAAAGACCGCTGAAAAATATTGAGGTAAACCAAACACACCATAAATGTATATTCTATTAGAGGTAGCTTGGCTGTGGTCCGTTATGTCATTGGGGCCTGCCTGCTGCAGTTGCAGCAATAGTGACTCCAATTGCAAATGCACTGTAATTTTATGTTTTTGTGAGCTAAACAAAAAAATACAGATTTTGCGATACCACTTCAGCCCCAAGCCATTTCTGGTACTTTTTGATTACATTTTAAAATCAGTATTTTTTGCTAAAGGTCTTAGAACCCCCAAACATTGTTTTTTTTTTAAATCATAGTCTCTAAAGAATACATTGGTGGGTTTTACATTTTTTTTTTATGTTACACAGTATTTGCGCCGCGGTTTTTCAAACACATTTTTTTGGGAAAAAATACACTTATTTGAGTTTTTGTTCCAAAAAAAAACAATACATAGCCCATTTTTTTTGTAACATATAAAAAAGATGTTATGCTGAGCAAATAGAAACAAAACGTCATGCTTTATAATTGCGCAAGTGCCTAAAACAGTGATAAACGACGTAAATGTTTTAAAAGCTTTTACAGGTTAACACTTTAGATTTAGACACAGGAGTTCTAATGCTAGAATTACTTCCCATGATCTGATGTTTGCGGTGATACCTCATGTGTGGGGCGATCGCTGTTTGCGTGCGTGATGGACCAATGTGTACGTTTGCCTTTGCATGCAAGCACGGAGGGATAGGGCCACTTTTTTTTTATTACACTGTCACTTTCATTTTTTTTTTTAATCACTTTTATTGCTGTCACAAGTAAGTATCCCCTGTGACAGAAATAGACACGTGACAGGTACTCTGTATGGAGAGATCTGTGGTCTCTAAGACCCCAAATCCCTCTTCTGTGCTTAAAAGCGTTCAAAACACCAAGATCAGTGTTTTTGAATGCTTTCAGACTCTTAAATATGGCATTGAAAGTTTCTTGTCAGGTCATGTCTTCCGGTTTACTATAAGGGAGAGCCGATCAAAGCTGATTGCGGCTTTATTCGTCTGTCTGGCCAGCCGGCAGATGTGCCAGCTGGCTGCTCAGGAATCCCGGTGGGACGGGAGATTCCGAGTGAGTCACAGAAGGCTGCAGGGTGAGGGGGGTCCCCTCCTGCTGCTTGTACAAGAGAGCTGACTGCCGGTTCTAAAAAACGGTCATCGCTCCGGTATAACCATCGAGAATTCAGCGACGCACAGGTACACCGTTGGTCCAGAGGACCAGACATGATTTAGATTGTGATTTACAGTAAAACATGGTACAGAACTGCCTCAGTAATCTAATAAATAGATCTGAATGCCAGGCAATTGTAAAACCATAATAATAAATAAAGAATAATAAGAAAACAATAAAGAAAACCATTATATAGTCATTAAAAATCATGTATTGTATTTTTAAATGCAATTAGCATATTTACCTAAATTGACTTGGTATCAGCCTCTTAATTATGTCCCATACAGTAGAAATCAGACTGAGAGAAGGAGGAGAGCCACTGGAGTTCACCCAGGTGTGCTGCGTATACATGTGCAACAGTGAACATGCTGACAGGAGGAGAGAGCAGAGGGTGAGATCATCAGTCTGCTGCTCTTCCTTCACCATCCAGTAACAGGCTGTATTGCTTACCTGTAGTAGTGAAAAGTCAGGTCAACAACTTTGCTCCGCTGTTTAGCAGGGCAGTGTAAATCTGAGAATAGGAAATACAAATCTTGCAGGTAAAGCAGCTCCCATTTTTGTATTTATTGTGTGTTTAGTAGTTTGCCTTAAGTTGATCTTTAGAAAAGGAATGGCAATCAGTTTATATAAATACTAAGACAGTATGTGATTTTTTTCAGTATGACAAGGTCTACTTGTCTATGGTGACTACAAGATGTATAACAGATTAGAAAGGTCATTGTATGTTTAGGATTATCAGTAGGCTTAAAAGTGGTTGCAGAAAAAAAATCACCTGGCCATCAACCCGTGGTTGCAGGAAAGAAAATTGCTTCATCTATGGTCCACTTTATTAATACCCATTGAAGTGGCTAGCCTCAGGGGATACAAAGAGATGAAACAAATCATCCTACATAATGTGTACCTGTTTATTTTGCTGCCTTCTCTACAGCCTCCTAAAGCATACATCTTACACAGCATTTTTGAGCTTGGAAAGGCAGGGGGTGGGGGATCTGATTTTGCACACTGCACAGCATACAGCAGGGAGCTGAGTTTAATCTGAGACCTGAGTGGAGGGAATGGACATACCCCCCTATACAGTGTCCTAGGGAAACATGTACAGCTGAGGCTGTCAATCACATGCTGTGTGGTGAGGGGGGGGGGGGGGCAGGGTCATCACCCAGGGTTGTCTGGTGTCGGCATAGACCAGCGTTTCCCAACCTTTTTTCCCAGTCAAGGCACCCATTAAAATTCTGCACAATCTTGCGGTGCCCCATTCTAAAATGTAACAAAAAAAAAGTTTTTTCATAATGCAGCACACAAGTAGGACATGCAATGTTAGAGGTTACTTATTTTTCCAAAGCAAATACACCTTAGTACACTTGTACTGACTAGTATTCCAATGTTTCTCTCCTCTCTGTTTCTGTCCCTCAGCTAATGTGACCCCAGTGCTGATGGAGAGGGGCATGGTAGGGACAAACAAGGCATGTAGGCGTTCGATATGCTTTTTATTAACCAACAATTGCATTGGTTGTTAGGACGCTAGCGGCTGGAAGGTTGTAATAGTGTGCAATGAAAACCTGTGGCTTTGTGTAACTAAAACACAGGTTTCATCCACCTACCGGCTTGTATAGAATTTTTGGCCAATATTAGGCATTTTTCCAAGGCACCCCTGAAGAAACCTGAAGGCACCCCGGTTGAAAAAGGCTGGCATAGACTGTCAGAAGTGACTCATGCAGAGAGCAGAGAAATAGGAGAGCAGACCGAAATCACAGTAGGAGTTTTAGATTGAGGCAAGTACACATCAGATAAGGATACACTTTGTTCATTTTTCATTTTTGAGGTTTATGACCACTTTAATAATTTTTGTGTGCAAAGACAACGAGTAAACGCAGACAATCAGACTTTATGTTTCATAATGCAAATTAATAAAATATGTACTTTATTTCCCTCAAGGTGAAATGCACAAACATAACAACCCAGGAATCCTATGTGAAGATAAACATTAAAGGCTCAGCAATTTGTGTAAGTACCATGCGGGATATGTTATTTTCTTTCAGTGTCTAGTACTGTAACATTGCAATCAACACTAATTACAGGGAATTGTGAAGGTTCAGTCCAAACAAAAGTAATATTTTACTTGTAGATGGAGGCAGCTTATTGGGTTGAGCAAAACCTCTGGCTACTTATATAACTTGGATACTTCAACAGAATCCTTGACTTTTTTCCTGGGAGTTTTTGGGTGTTCCCACTAACCCTTATGAACTTCATCTGGTGGGGACCGGGGTGCACTTGCCATGACGTGTAAGTATGCATGGCATGCATGCACATTATGAGAAACCTTCCTTGGGTTTACTGTGCTCTAGCAATGACAGCTGTCACTGATACCATCTTTACCAATGCTTTTTTTGCACCCAGAATATCCTCTGGTCAGCTATTGGACAGCCAGTGATAATGCAACTCCTGCCCAGTAGTCTGATCTCACACACCATACACTAAAAAGATGGTAGACTCTGTAAGTCAGGCAGCTGACAGGATACAGAAGACCTGTCCTTTTGTCCCCCCCCCCCCCCCCCGTGTTCTCTGGCCCCCACATGCTGTCTGCCTCCCAATGCTCTTCGGCCCCCCTGTGCTCTCTTCAAAATGAAGAATGGGGAAGGGGCCAGTAAATGTGTCATGTATCAGCCACTTCCTTTTTTAAATACAAACTCAGTGATTCGCACTGATCATTGACTCTGTCCATTCATAACTGAATCATTGTAAACTGCATTTACTATGCTTCAGTTTATGAATGAATAGGAGCCTCTGTACAGAGCTATTCCTGTGATTCATTCTGTGCTGGTGAGATGGAGATAGAGGGCTGTGTCCTCAATCTCTTTTCTCTGTCTCAAAGGTGAAACATCGGAGGTCTGTTTAGCCCCCCAACAGGGCTCCTAAAAAAATTGTAAAAAAATAATATTGTAAAAAAAAAGCTGTACATTTTTTTTTAATGGTAAAAAAATAATAACAAAAAATAAACAAAAATAAAAAACTACTGACACCAGTGGCGGAACTACCAGGATCACTACCCGGGGGTCAGGGGGGCCTTTCATGGTTCTTGCATCAGGGCCCTGAAGGTTCCAGTTACTCCTATGGGAAGGACCCAACATACTTAAATCACTTGCCCTATTAGCAACATTGCATTTTGTTTATTTGATTTATGTTTGACATTTTTTACATTTTGCATTTTTTTAATCCAAACGAAGGTCCAACAAAAAGTCATATGACATAATAACGGCCACATCCATTACCAACAATAATCTAGAAAGGGAAACCTTGCTAGTGAGGTAGTCTGCAGGATCATAAGATAAAAAGGGAAGTGTAGGTGTCAAAGGGCAATGTGTGTCATTAAGGCAAATGAGAATATGCCAATCACCATATATATCATAAAAACCAGAGTATCAATTGATGTGAAAATACCCCTTAGAGGGTGTCACAGTAGAATTCAGGGTTGGTGTCGAGGGGGTTGGAAACAGCCTAATTGTGTGTTCTGTAGGGCAAATATCCTCTCAGAGTCTCTGTCTTCTAATAAAGAGTTATATTCAGCGATAGGCCTATACAGTCATAATAGAAAAGGAAATGAAAAATTTAGGAAAACCAGGATCTTAGGAAGAAAATGACATTTTGTAACAGTAGTCATTGTATCATACCACCTAAATTTTAAGTTCCACAAGAAGCCACATATGCTGCCTCTAAACACCTGCCAACTTTATGGGGCTTACAGTGGTTATTAAAACCAAAACAAAAAGGTAATATATTGCAGCTTACCAATTATTAGATGTGGTTTTACTTTTTAGGCTATTTTCCTTCTGTGTTCACCTGGTGATCTGACCAGTAACACACCTCCTGATTTAGAGTGCCCCCACTGGGGGAGTGTTAGATGAGCTAGAAAATTTAGATGCACTAATACAGTATATCAAAGCCAAACTCCAGCTCACACTTTATAAACAGTTAACGCAACAGTTTTCGTAAGTAAATACAGAATGATTATTGTAAGCACCCCTGTCAATGGTAAATGCTTTGTCTCAGCCCTCTACAGTGCCTTGAAAAAAGTATTCACGCCCCTTGAAATTTTCCACATTTTGTCATGTTACAACCAAAAACGAAAATGTATTTTAGTGGGATTTTATGTGATATACCAACACAAAGTGGCACATAATTGTGAAGTGGAAGGAAATGATAAATGGTTTTCAATTTTTTTTACAAATAAATATCTCAAAAGTGTGGCATGCATTTGTATACAGCCCCCTTTACTCTGATACCCCTAACTAAAATCTAGTGGAACCAATTGCCTTCAAAAGTCACCTAATTAGTAACAGTATCCACCTGTGTGTCATTTAATCTCAGTATAAATACAGCTGTTCTGTGAAGCCCTCAGAGGTTTGTTAGAGAACATTAGTGAACAAACAGCATCATGAAGGCCAAGGAACACACCAGACAGGTCAGGGATAAAGTTGTGGAGAAGTTTAAAGCAGGGTTAGGTTATAAAAAATATACAGTATCCCAAGCTTTGAATATCTTATGGAGCACTGTTTAATCCATCATCCAAAAATGGAAAGAGTATCTGCTACATCTGCAAGAGAGCTTGTTCTTTTGAAAAAAAAGAGACTTACCAGGTGACAATAAAGAAAAGAAAGCCTAAAGAAGAAAACTAATGCAGCTATCACATCTAAGAATTGGTAAGCTGCAATATCATAAATGTTTGTTATTGAATTTAATATGCCTTAACCAAAAAAAACAAAAATTAACAAGAAATAAATTAATTTAAAAAAATGTGTGTGTGTATGTGTATATATATATATATATAATGTATACAGTGCTCAGCATAAATTAGTACACCCCTGTTGATAAGTAAGATTTTAATCAATATCCCAATGTGCACAAGAACAATTTCCAAAATTTTGACAAAACTGAGTTTTACAGAACATTTGTTTAGCTCATTACATGAAAGTAAGGTTAATAATATAACTTAGATTATAAAATCTTCTGTTTTACTCAAATTAGTTGATGCAAAAATGAATACACCCCACAACAAAAACTATTGTTTCTAGTATTTTGCATGACCTCCATTATTTTTAAGGACAGCACCAAGTCTTCTAGGCATGGAATGAACAAGTTGTCAACATATTGCAACATCTATTTTTTTCCATCTATCATACATTTTATTTATTTTTTTGCTGGATGGAGAGAGATGCTCAACTGTTCTCTCCAGATTTCCCTATAGTTGTTTGATTGCGTTCAGATTAGGAGACATACTTGGCCACTGAATCACTTTCACCCTGTTCTTTTTCAGAAATGTAACAGTGGCCTTAGTTGTGTGTTTTGGATCATTGTCATGTTGGAAAAGTGCATGAAGACCAAGGGAACGGAGTGATGGCAGCATCTTCTGTCTGTTTCAATATAGAGCTGTACATCTATGAATGCAGCCCCACAGAAGGACACTGCCACCACCATGTTTCACTGTAGGCACCATGCATTTTCCGTTGTACTCCTCACCTTTGTAACCCAATACAGTTTTGAAGCCATCAACATTTATCTTGTTCTAATATATAAAGAAGTTGTGAGCGCTATGAAAACAAAAAGCAGCCACAGCATCAAAAAAGGATACCAAAAAGCCTTAGAAACCATACAATATAAAAGATGCGGCGCTATAGATAAAATGTCCAAAATATCAATATATGGTGGTTTAGGTGATTAATGTGATCACAAAAGAGTTATATCACAAGCAAAGTGACATGCGGTGCAAAACCAGTCTTTGTGACAATTATTTTTCTTCAAAGTGCTGCTTCCATGCAGTAAAACGTGAAAAGGATAAGGCTGTGCACTCACCAGATGCACAGTGTAACTGCGTATTTAGAGATATATTATCTCCACTAAATCCACAAATGGCTTCAAAAGGTCAGGTCAGGCCGGATATTCCTCCATCCGCTGAATGTTGCTAGTAATCCACAGTCTCTCTCTTAGGTGGCTCTATAGGTGATGAGTGACTCACCAAGGGCCACAAAGAAAGGAGACCAATAGCGTGATACCGTTTAAGGAATATTTATTTCATATACAGTATGATATAGGAAAACAAACAATCACTGACCATGAGGTGCATAGAAAGATGGCCGCCGGGACCTCCGTGGTGCCGGCGGCAGAGAGATAGTGACGCTGTAGCTCCTACCCTGACGCGTTTCGTGCTAACCGCACATCATCAAAGGGGATAAGCGGCCATCTTTCTATGCACCTCATGGTCAGTGATTGTTTGTTTTCCTATATCATACTGTATATGAAATAAATATTCCTTAAACGGTATCACGCTATTGGTCTCCTTTCTTTGTGGCCCTTGGTGAGTCACTCATCACCTATAGAGCCACCTAAGAGAGAGACCGTGGATTACTAGCAACATTCAGCGGATGGAGGAATATCCGGCCTGACCTGACCTTTTGAAGCCATTTGTGGATTTAGTGGAGATAATATATCTCTAAATGCGCAGTTACACTGTGCATCTGGTGAGTGCACAGCCTTATCCTTTTCACGTTTTACTGCATGGAAGCAGCACTTTGAAGAAAAATAATTGTCACAAAGACTGGTTTTGCACCGCATGTCACTTTGCTTGTGATATAACTCTTTTGTGATCACATTAATCACCTAAACCACCATATATTGATATTTTGGACATTTTATCTATAGCGCCGCATCTTTTATATTGTATATTTATCTTGTTCTCATCACTCCAGAGTACAGAGTCCCAGTAGTCTTCTTCTTTGTCAGAATGGGCCCTGGCAAATTCTAGGTGGGATTTTTGTGCATGGGCTTTAGGAGAGGCTTCCTTCATGGACAACACCCATGCATTCCTCTGCAGTGTACGCTGTATTGTGTCACTGGAAACAATCACCCCAGTTTGGCTTTCTACTTCTTTAGCTAACTGCAGTGAAATTGCATGGCAATTTTCTTCATGGATGGCCTGGACGTCTTTGTGAGATGGCTGCAGTTCCATCTTT